ATAAAAAACAACAACAAAATAAAAAAAAAATTAATTTATAAGGGTGGCGTCTGCCAGGGCTGCCACAGCCACTGGACTGGCGCCTGGCAGGGCCGCCTCAGCCAGTAGAGTGGCGCCTGGCCAGGACGCCAGTCTGGTGGTCTGGGCGTCTGGGCTGGACGCCACTCTAGTGGTTCTGGCGTCTGGCTTGGACGTCCATGCTACGGTTTGGGCGTCCATCCTAGGCGCCGGAGCCACTCCGACGGTAAACCGTGAATTTAACGGTGACTTACCTCGTTTTCCGTCGACGACGACGTACCTCCGGCGTCCCCCGCATCTCCGGCCTGCCCTCCGGTCTCCCCCGGCGAGCCAGTACGGCTCCACATTTTTTAAACCGAGATTATTTCAATTTTAGAAAATGGGCATAATGGTCACACCAGATCATATTTGTGGGCTTTATATGGTAATTTGCGGGCGATGTTTAGCGATTCACTTGGATTGGGGGACTGGTGGTGTGGGATGGTGGGTGGCTGTTTTTTTTGAAAGATTTTTTCGACGGAATTTCCGTCGAAAAATTCCGGCGGATTATATTCCGTCGGAATTTTCAGACGGATTTTCTCTGCCCTGAAAATCCCTGCCGACAGATTTAATTCCGTTGGAATTTCCGTCGGAATAGTGTTTCCGACGGAAATTCCATCGGAAAAGCTGGTTTTCCTACAATATGTAATCCGACGACCCGTTACGACGGAAATTCCGTCGGAAACCCCATTCCCGACGGAATTTAGGGTGTTTCCGACGGAAAAATTCCGTCGTTATTTGCATGTTTTCTAGTAGTGTAGTATAATACACGTGCAATGCACAACTAGCTTACAAATTATAATGTTAATAATAAGGAACATTTGTCTGGAAAGGGCATATATGTTCACTATTTTGTTTGGAAGGACCTTATATGTTTAAAGTGGTCTAAAATGACCTTATAAGTTTATTTTATTGTTTGGAGGGACCTTGAGGTCGGAATCTGACAATACTTGACTTTTTTCTTTGACATTGATCTCTCATGTGACCTTAAAAAATGACCCCTTTTTATTTTTTTCCATGATTTTCCTCAATTCCCTTAATTTGATTTGTGTCATTTGGGGATTAGAAGAGAGAGAAGGAGGAATTGAAAGGAAATCGTGGAAAAAAAAGGGAGGAGGGGGGGGGGGGGGGTCAGTTTTTAAGGTACACCTAGGTAATTTGCTCATTAATGAATGAACAAAACAAATTTGCTTATTTATTAAATGAGCAAATTACCCGGGTGTATATAACAAATTCTAGATGATACTAAAATCTTACAAATAAGAAATATAGTATTGATGTATTCTTATACAAAGTATAATTATATCTATATATAGCTACAAAGTATATAATACGGAGCATAGTACAAATAACATAATTACCGATGAAGTGTCAAGTAATGAGTGATGAATATGATCCGATGATGATATAATCAATAATCAATCAATAACTATATACTAAAAGACACACCAGCATTGACACGTGTCATCTCCTGGTGTGTCCTTAGATTTTTTTTAAAAAATTATTTAAGAATCAAATCCTTTACATATATAAAGTATGATAGAAGATTTGATGCGTCTTTCCAAAAAAAAATATTGACAACTATGAACTTAAATTAAGCAAAAAATAAAATAAAAAATAATATTCTTATCGTATTTGTGACATATGGAGTATTTGTTTTAGGAAAGACATACATTATATATGTACGTATTATATATGTCGTACATAATACGTCGTACTACGTTTATTACAATAAGATTATATATTTTCTTAATAGAAGCAAAGCTACAAGCTTCAACAATGAAATGCCCATATCAAATCAACTAATGAAACTTCTGCTATTTCCTTGAATAATTTATGATTAGAATATTAATCAATTAATCCTATACTATACTATAATTAACTATGGATAATTTAATAAAACTTGCCAAGACCGGCACATGTTGATTATTATTAGTGTGATTTTTTCTTGCCAAATTTTTTTGTTCCATTCAATTGATATGAATATAATATATCAAAGTAAATTTTTTTTTTAAAATATAGTGTTAATTTTAAAATAGTTATTGGAAATTACAATATAGTGTTAATTTTAAAAATTATTTATTGGAAATTACTGTGCAGGCGCGGGCACGGGAGCTTACCTAGTAGAGTAAAAAGTTCTCACTTCTTTTTATAGGCCCACATTAAATTTCCCCATCTCTTTTTTAGTACTTTCCTTTTTTCCTTTCTTTCTCTCTTCGTGAGTATTTTCCTTCTAAGATGAAGCTCGGTGAATATAACTTTAATGGAGTTTTAATCTTCAGCCTCATTTATCAACGCGGGGCCCATCAAAAGGGGATCTGAGCCTTCGCTCAAGCTGCTCCCCCTTAATAATTAATTGATGATCAATAATTAATTAAAAGGGGGGCCTGAGCCTTCGCTCAAGCTGCTCCCCTTATAGTCGGCCCTGATTAAAATAATTGATAGATGATTAATGATTGAATGATAAAAATTTAAATGCAAAATAATTTTTTAACCTCTTTTTTTTTTTTTTTTTTTTTTTAATTATAAGTCAAGAAGGATATTAAAATCTTTTAAAGGGGACACTGCAATCTCCCACTTGGTTTATAAAATAAAGATAAAAATCATCGTACATGACAAGAGACCTGCTTAGTATTTTTGTTGAAGATATCTCCATTTGCAATTAGTATGGTGTCTAACTGTCGGTGGTACTTTGACAATTAGTGAAAATATATTATAACTTTATTATTATAATAAATCATTAATCAACGCCAATAGCCTTTGACAATTAGTGAAAATATATTATAACTTTATTATTCGTTTTACAATTTCAATAACCTTGTAACCATAAGAGCATTCCCATCAGTGAGGAGAATTTTGCTCATGAGCAAAATTGATGAGCAAAATTGCAATATTTGCTTCCCCACCAATGAGCAAATCAAAATATGCTCATGAGCATAATGAAATTTGCTCATCCTATGAGCAAAAATGAAAGTGAATAGTTAAATCGTGGGGCCCAACAATAGTACTAACCGATTTTTTTTTTTTTTTTTTGCTTTTGACACCCTCAAAACGACGAGTTTTGGGGTTTGGTCTGAAGAAATGACCCCAAAAACGACGCGTTTTGATGGCAGCCAAGCAAAAAAAAATTAATTGCAGCTGCTGACAGGGGCGCGTCAGTCCAGCGAATGGGAAGCTGACACGCGTCCCTGTCAGCTTGTTCCTCCAATCAAAAAATTCAACCGTTTAGCAATGGTAATTAAATTAAAACGGTAATTTGGCCGTTTTATAATTATAAAAAAAAAAAAAAAAATTCACCAACGGTTATATTTTTTTTTGCTCTACAAATAGAGATCCATTTTGACATATTTTGGTATAATTTCAAAAATCACAAAAACACTCAATATTACACTTAATCCCATTTCTAGTGAGATTTATGTTATAATTTCTAATATAAAGTTGAGAAAGGTTAATTTTTTTTTTTGGTTAATTATTTTTTTTAATTACTGTTTTTAGTACTTTAATATTTTTTCAAAACGTTATTAATGATATTTTAAGTAGCAATATTTTTTTTAAGTTTAAAAAATCCAAAAAACTCTTTATTATTTTTACTCCCAAGTTTAGTTAGATTAAATTTTCATTTTCTAATATTACTCTTTATTTTTTAGTATAACTACTTTTTTTCTCAACAAAAAAAAAAAAATTATTTAATTACTTTTTGTAGCACTCAGAAATTATTTAAAACGTTATTAACGTTATTTTATGGATTTGGCATGCATTCTTTGGGATCCCGGGATCTTGTAATGATCTTAATGTCCTTTACCGATCTCCGGTCTTTGATGATGTTCTTCATGGTCGGGCACCTCCAATTCATTTCACCGTGAACGATCATGAGTACAACTTGGGCTATTACTTAGCAGATGACATTTACCCAAAATAGGCTACTTTTATTCAAGGTATAACACTTCCACAACTTCAAAAGGATAAATTATTTGCTGACAAACAAGCTGCAGCTCGGAAGGACGTTGAACGGGCTTTTGGGGTTTTACAGGCTAGGTTTTCCGTTCTACGACAACCCTCCCTTGCGTTTAACGAAGACATATTGTGTGACATAATGAAAGCTTGTATCATTATGCACAACATGATTGTCGAAGATGAACGACACAACTATGCTCGGGCCGAAGTTTTAAGAAGGTACTATGAACAAGATCACCCGCAAATTACAAGACCCACTACAAGTGCTACATTTAACAACACGAGCCTTTTGAATTCAATGTTGGCCGACCGCCAAACGTTGATTTCGACACGTACGTCCACAGAAGAATGTCACTACGTGATAGAGACACTCATGTTCAATTAAAAGCGGATTTAGTGGAACACATTTGGCAAAAATATGGTTCTATTAATGAGTAAAAAAAATAAATTTGTCGTAAGATTACAATTTAATAGAGTATTAATCGTACGTTTAAAATCTAGGTTCGTTATTGGTTTGTAGTATTAAATGTATTCGTACGCTAATTAAATTTTATGTTGTATTACATTTATAATTAATTAGCGATTAAATTTCAATATTATGAATGAAAAATTAATAATTGTATTAAATTAAATAAAAGTATAATTGTAATTAGTACCCATAAATATTCATTTAACCAAAACATAATAAATATTAATAGGGTGATGTGTAAGAGAGAGAGATATTGGTGAGTTATGTGAAAAAGTAGGAGAGAGATTGATGAGCATTATTTTTTTGCTCACTAAAAATGCTCATGAGCAAATTTAGTTGGGAAGAGAGAGAAAGTGGGTAGAGAGAGAATGAGGAGAATTTTTTTTGCTCACTAGTGGGGATGCTCTAACAACTTGAGAATGTAACATTCCAAAATACTACTAGAATTTTATTTAAGCTGCATTAGCAACATACTACAATGCAGTTGGATTACACTTAGTAAATCATAAGACTTAGAGATCTAAATCCTGATCTTAATGAAAGCAATCCTGTCAACAGAGGTGTCGTTTTTCCCATTTGAGAGTGGAACCTTCTTTTTCCAACAGTCCCCTCCATTTCTGTAAATGGCAACTGCACAGAAGCAATCTGTTAGACAAACTTCCCTGCACCATTCTACAGGAACATTCTGATAATGCTCGTAGTCCGAAAGCGGCCAGTCTACGTCCTGCAGCACCTTGAAATCGTACTGATTTTTGTCTTGTGATCCTTCTTTACAACTCTGTGGAGCAAAGTTCTGGTAGCATCCGCTCATCTCATTGTTTGGATCCAAGGGCGCGTAACCTGGAGGGCATATGCAGTGTGGTCTACTGTCATCTCCTAACTTGCAGTAGCTGTTGAAACCACATACGCCGCTACCTGTTTGCTGTATGACAGCAGTACAGATGTTGTCTGGAGTAAAGGACTTGATTGACCAGCCACCATAACGAGATGCACTCTTTGAGTACACGTAATGTCTTAATACACCGTCGTATTCAAGAATCACCCTCTGATAGAGAGCTTTTTCATGTGATATCTCATTCGGAAAGATATTAACAAGAACTCCGCCATTGCTGTCAGCAAGGTACAGTGAACCAGACTGGTCGAACACCACCAGGCTTCCGAATCCCTGATCAGCGAATGTCTCATAGTTGGTGTTCAGTGTGTTGAAAAGGGGGAAATCTGTGGTGTATAATGCAAGATTTCCGTTATATCCCAAGTTGAATGAGAACCTGCCACTCGAGTAATTCTTTCTAGAAAAACTTGCAATGAGTTGTTTGCCTTGATTCAGCGTCTGTGTAGGCAAAAGAGTGTCAGTTGGCTCATCAAAGCTTTGCCAAAGTACAGCAGAAGCTCGATCCATCAGCACGAAGTTTCCAGTGTCGAGCATAGCTGCAGAGGCAACTGTCACTCCTCTGCTGCTGCTGCTGCCAGTCAACAGCCTAGCTCTCCATACCTCGCGCCCACTTGGGTCAGTAAGTATCAAGCTTCTTGCAGTAAGTTCTACTTTCGAACCCCTAGGTACTGGAATATCTCTGTTGGCAGACCAAGTTATGGTCCTTTCGGGTATTCTATTGAACCATATGGCTAACAGAAAACTTCCAGACTCTATCTTCTGAAACCCGAAAGCAAAGACTTTGGAGGGAGATACCCAAGGCAAAGAGATATCCCCAGCAATGAGAGACGAGCCCAAGGTTACGCTGTTGTAACTTTGAGCCGAGATAGTGAAGCACGTTAGAAAAGAAAAACAGATATAACAAGGTAATTTTACTGATAAAACCATGGTTCTACTGTAGTTATTACAGCAGGAAAAAAAATTGCAGTAAGCTTTGTTTATTATAGCTCTGCTTTTTTAATATAAGCAAACTGTTCATGGTACATATCATATATAGTGGGTATGGACAACCCATTTATGAAAGCTAAACTTTATAAAAGTATGTAGATGTATGTCATTTTTCAAGTCCAATGAAAATTAAGGCTCAAAATTGTTATCAGAAGGTTGGACCAGTTTAAATCATGCGCCATTCTAAATTGACTTTTCTTGAAGAATAATACATGTAATAATGGAGCTATATTTATGAGTTCCGTCGATTCCTCAATCTGTTTTGCACCTAACAGGAAACAGAATACCTAATTCATGTACTAATAAATTTTGTTATATGATTTTTCTAAGTTAAAAATCACACGATCTTGATATTTCCACATATTGATTAGATAAGTTAAGGAAGAATCAAACTGTTAGATACCAATTCAAATATAGTAAAGAGGAAACTTAGGTATATAGAGAAATTACTATTCTTATGTTTATAAACAGATCATCTAGAAATTCAACAGTCAACTTTACAGTTTTGTGAATCAAATCCTTGATGTATTAATTAAGATCATCTATATTCATTAAGGTGTTTCTATTCAAAAAAAAAAAAAAAAAAAAAAAAAAATCATTAAGGTGTTTCATATCTACACAAAAATGTATCCATTTTGACTAGACACATTTGTGAACATGCAAAGATCATTAATATATGTAAATATTTTAGCAAGAATAAAAAAATTGGTTACATTTTAATAATAACACTGGTTTTTATATATTGTATTAAAAATAGGAACAAAGTAAGCACAAGAATAGCATAAAAAATCTAGGTGTAAGGTATTATGGGACGGTAGAAGTTTGTTATCTATTGTCAGCAAGACAATAGCAATTGCTACTGCAAATTAAGTTGATAAATTCGTCGAATAAGATCAGTTGGAATTTAGAAAAAGAAGCTACCACTCACAAATTGGAAATATGACAGTTCTGCCTGCTAGTGCTGACAGTTGACATGACAATTTTCCTTAAGGGAAAAGACTAAAGATGGATGAGCACTAAAGCACTATGCAGTTAAATTCTATGCTGGTACCAAATTAAAGACTGAAGCCAATGCTGTACTTCTCTGGCATTACTAGAATCTGTTTAAGCTCATAGGATTATGCGAGGAAGAAGAGGACTAGTTGCTTGTGAAAGTCTTAAATAATGAAGACAAAGACGAAGATCGACCTAGTTAAGGATTTGTCCTTGATTTCTATCAAATGCAAACAATTATTGATCTTGCCAACAATAATGTGAAGGCTCCTTGTGATTAGCAAAGAATAAAGAGAACATTGAAGAATGCGGTCTAAGATGAGCATTAAGCTAATGGTTGAAGCTCAGGAATATGTTTTATACTCTATTATAAGACACACCTCAATGATGATGTTTGCACCAAAACTAGATGGGCTTGTCGAGCTCCTGAATTCCCCTGTCCAACCTCATACTCGCTTACTACTTGCTGTAAGACTTCAGGCTCTCAAAGCTAGTTTTCCAGTGTAACACAAAGAAAAGTTGTCAACAAAAATTACCCAAATCTTTTATGCAAGATAGTGTTCATGACAGTACTCTGCAGATTTCTGAGTAAAGTTGCTTGCGTAATCTGAGTAAGTGGCTAAAAGTGGACAGCAGTTCTCTTAGGCATCCTTTATGCTCAAGTAAAATGTACTCCGTACTAGTATCACTCTTTTTCCTAAGGTCACTAATGCTTTCAATATTAGAGATTACAGGCCTATTGCTTGCTATACGATCTTGTGCAAGTTGGGTGCTGCAAAAATGATACCAGCGCGAAGAGCATAACTCAACAAATGATTGAAGATTGGAAGTGGTCAATATATGACACGCTTTAAGGGTTATTCTAAGAAGCATATATCTAGTAGATGTGTCATTAAAATGAATCTTAGGTAAGATAATGACTATAAAATGAAGTTTCTTGAAATAATATAAGTTTTTATCTTCTCTTTGATACTTTGCTATCTTGTATAGATATAAAATCTTTGTGAATCTCTGCTCTGTATATTTCATTCAGATTATGACTAAAGCAAGTAGCAATAGAATTTAAAGTGACAGCCGTTTAATTCCCTGTGAATCAGGGCTTAATGCTTAACTTATATCTACACAAAATTTATCTGTACACCGTAATGAATTGTAATTACTTTGATTTTCGCTATGCGATTTGAAGGTAAAGCCAAAACATTAATAAATCATCTTCTCAGTTAGCAGAAATACTGACTTAGTCACTCCTTACCTGAAAAGTTAAATAAAATAATGATGCAAGGGGAAATCAGAAGAGTGAAGAGAGAGTATAGCAGAGGACAATATGATCATTTCTCATTACCTCAACTACTGATGCAATGCACCTTATATATTGTTTGGGTCCAATTTAGTCTAAATTGGGCCTGGTCCATAAATGATTCAATTGTAAGCCAAGGTCAAAGGTTCAACTCTCCAATCCATGTCAAGTCAAAGTCAAGTCAACATGGCAAGCCCATTTGGCTTTAGGCTTAATTCTCCTATTAAGTAAAGGTATAAAAACCATCAATTACATCATTTTACATTCATTCACATAGAGCCTCAAGCAATTTATTCTCTTGCATTGCTTTCTCTCTACACATTGTACTGACTTCGGCATCAGAGGGGCCTTCCTCGGCACAACCCCCAAGGTTAGTTTACGTGTGTTTGCTGTGCAGGAAATCCTCGGCCCAGCATCACTTGGACCGAGCCCAGTCTTCATCCAACTGCAAAGGACCTTCGGCAAGGTCCCATTGTTTTCACCCGAAACAATTTGGCGCCGTCTGTGGAGAAGACTTTTAAAAAAATCTTTAAGCCAATCTCAATAGTTCTACCCTAATCTTAAAGCAATGGCTAAGAACAAGAAATCGGACAGTGGCCCTTCTTCAGCCAAGAATGGCCAAATGACGCCGGGGAAAAGGCCATTTCCCCGTCGCCACCGCCTTTACCGAGCTAACATTCTTCTTAGGAGGCCAGTTTGGGAGGGGCATCTCGAGAGAGATCTCATCCTCCCCCCATCCGCTCTCAGAATAGGACGAGCCCACCTCAGTCCCATGCTAGAATTCAATCCATTGCTCGAAGTCAACCTTTGAGCATTCATTCTCACTCTCGTCCTCAGCTGAGGACCCCTTTGACGGGGCCCAATTCGGAGGAAGTAGTGAGAGCCCTTGCGGTCCTCATGGATTCCGTAAGAACCCAAGTCATGCCACCTCCACGCGACCAAACGCCTCCGCAAACAAGACGTCAGCGGAGGAAAATCGATCGGGGGGGAGAAACTCTCCTCCTTCAATGGGAGGAGGACGCCTAGAGGACCGAGCGAGAAAGAAAAAGAAACTCGCACTATTTCAGGGAGTCCAACACCCAAGCCTACCAAAGCAATAAAAGCAACAGCTCTGCCTCGGCATAAGGGAATCGAGTGTGCACAGTCGTCTCTCTTTTCCCGACCAAGCCGAGGCTCATCTTGAATCTTCCTGGCCGGGGACGAAAAATACTTCTATCTCTCTGAGAGGGCGGAGCGCGGTCCCTTCGACCAGAAATAAAGGAAAAGCCGTGATGCTTCCCACCAGTTCTCCATTTGAGCGATGGATACTGGAAGAGCATGTGCTGACGGTTAAAATCTGTCACACATTACTTATGACGGAACTTCGGATCCGAAGGACCACATTGCCTCCTATGAGGGGCACATGCATCTGAAGCCTAGGTCCGAAGGGACCTGGTGCAAATACTTTCCTACTACTCTCAAGGGGGTCGCACAAGCGTGGATCTTTAAGGGAGTCAAGGAGGGTTCGATAACGGGGTGGGAAGATCTGTCTACCAAGTTCAAAAGCAAGTTTTCTACGGCAAACCGCTGAGAGAAGACAACTGCAGAGTTCATGGGCCTGCAACAAGGGGAGACCGAGAGTCTCCGAGACTATCTGACTCGTTTCAGTAACGAGTCATCTGTCGTTACAATCCTTGACCAGGGGCTAGCCGTTTTTGCTTTGCAGCACGACCTTCAAACTGGACCGTTCCTTGACTTCATGGTTATGCATACGTCGCACACTTTGGAGGACGCTCTGAACGCTTCGGATAAGTTCATCCGAGCCGAAGAGTAGAACAAAACGAAAACCCATCCTCAAACTGGGGGTGGGAAATAAAAACAACAGACCTCGTCTAAAGGCCAAGGCCAGAAGGCGAAGGGCAAGGCGACGGCCTCGGAACAAGCTTCGGCCAACGAGCCGAAGAAGGACAAATCTGCACCCTACTTGGGCAGATACGAATCTTATACTCCGCTTGCCTTCCCACGTGCTAAGATCTACATCGTGACGAAGGAGGATCAGAGTTACCGAAAGCCGAGACCACTCCCACAATGGTATCAGCAAAAATATAAAAATCAATGGTGTGAGTTCTACGAGTCACCGGGACACAACACCGAAGAGTGTATTAAGCTGAAGGACCAGATCGAAGATATGGTCCGAAAGGGGTACTTGAAAAAATATATCGCGGATCACCGCGAGAAAAAAGAAGCTGAGAAGTCTGAGAAAGACTCTCGGTAAGAAATTGACTTCCCCCGGAAGAACAATAAAGCTTCGGAGGAAAAATTTCCTCCAATCCACGTCATTTCCGGAGGGACGTGTTCTCGGAGGGAGCACAAGCGTCACCTTAGGGCTCTGGTCCACCAGGTGAACAATGCTAACATTCAGCCTCCTCAGTCGCCGGTGCTGAACATGACGTTCACAGCCGCCGACTACCGGGGGTGACGTTCCCTCACAAGGATCCCCTTGTGATCGTTGCCACAGTGGCCAACCATAACGTCTCACGAACCCTCGTCGACGGTGGTAGCGGAGCAAACATTTTGTTCCGAAAGGCCTACAATCAGATCAAGCTGAAGCCGAAGCACCTCATGTCGGTACCCTACCCGGTGTTCGGATTCAACGGGGCTTCAACTTATC